TCCATTAATTGCCAAAAGAAGCATGATGATGAAGCAATTCTATCTTCTCACTTGGTTCCACATAAATACGGTGTAAACAACAATTATAAAAGGACAGACTCATGTTGTTATGTTAACAAGGATGTTCCCTTGGTTGATCAGATTCAGCCACTATGAAATGAGTATTACATGAACAATCTTGAGATTAACCAACGAGCCTAAGTTAGACAAAATAAAGAACAGAAGTGTCCTTTGCATTGACACGTCCTATTTATGAACTAAAAGGGAACAGGTTAAGAACGAGGCAGCAAGAAGCATACCTCATAATATCTTCACCAACACAATATAATTCCAAAAGCGGAAATTAAACTCTTCTAGCCACAGACAGCAACCAGAAACTTCCTTTTACTTACTGGTTCCTCTTGCAACACAACAATGTCTCTTACTTTGTCCAGAAGCTCCTCCAAATCATTCACGCCAAAGCTTTGATAATCGATTGATCTTTTGTATTTCTGCTGGTAGATCGCCTCAAAACAGCCAAGAGAGATGCGACAATAGTAGCTTACCAAAATCTCTTGAAGCTCGTATTTGAATAGGTTGAGGCTCTCTACATTATATTTCTCTATTTCGCTATTGTCATCATGTTCCTCTACAACCACCCTTTCATCATCTGGGGGTTCATCAGAAGATCCGGCACCTGCAATAACATCAATGGGATCTTGAGCTTCTTTACTTTTCTCATCCCTCTTCGCCAAAATCAAGGGATGGGCACCAGATATGGCTTTAGAGTTACGGAGGTAGACAAACTTCCTCGAGCCTCTTCCTTCAATAGCCATTGCACCACCCATCTTCTCCAGAAGATTTACAAGCTTAAGAGCTCCATATTCAGACACATACAAAGGCCTCCCATAGATTTTCTGGTATTCTGAAGAAAGACGGATTAGAGGCATACACCCACCTGATAATTCAAGCAACTTTACCAGTTGGCCCTTTAAACCATTCAGATCTCCAGGTTGTACCCACATGAAGTCATTCTGGTCACATGAAGTAAAAGTTCTTGCTGGAACTTCATTCAACACAGATGGAAGACCGTGTGATTTGGAAGACGTAGGATAATAGGGCATGGATATTGAACTACTATTATATTCAGTCGGAGACCTTGAGAGCAATGAGAAATCCCGTTTGTTGCAATAGCCTTTGGAGATTCCTCTATACACTATTGCTTCTTCTTCATTTTGACAATCTAAGTTGTCACTGACCTCACATCCCGTTAAAAACCCAGTAATGTCTGTCGGAACTACATAAGGAGGTAGTAAAACCTTAGCAGGTGGAACAAATCCTTCCCCGCGAGCCACACTTGGCCAGTCCCAGACAAACTGGCCTGCATTACTCAGAGCAGATGAAACACTCGCCCTAGAAGGACTGACAAGGATGATAGTATATCCACGCTGGCCTAAAACATGAAGTGCAGGAGCAAAATCAACATCCCCAGAGATGAGCAGGATAGATGAGGGTGGACGATTGTCAAGAGCAAAAAGGAACATGTCAACCAAGATTGCCTTGTCAGCTGCATCCTTCCGCCCATTGGGAACGTCTATGAGTTTGACACCTGTTCTCTGACACCCTTCCCGTAGTCGTCTGGGAAATGCATTGAAATCTCCATATGCAGAGAACGTCGTGACAACTCCGTCAATTACAGGATGGACCCGCAAAGCCATCCTAATATTACCAGCTACATCTTCTGGGCGAACATCACTTGGCACTGGACAGTTCTCAATGTCCCAGAGTATAGCCACAGGACCCCGAGATGAGCTTTGCATTTGATGTAAATAAGGCTGAGGCAAGTCAGTATTTGCATTTGCCATACGTTTCTCTTCTGAGTATTCTGGTGGCAACATCAAAGCAAATATATTTGAACTTGACATCGCTGTTCTATAACAGTTCAAGCTACGTCTTCAGGCTTCCTGATATCAAGTAAAGATTGTGAATAGCCAGCCGAGAGAAAACTTTCAAGTTTCAAGTACTTGCACTTGAAACAAATAATTGATGACAAAACAACATTCATCCAAGCAGAACAGGAGATTGTAATTGAGCCCAAAGTATTAGGTAATATGTCAGAATGAGTAAAGACTGAATGTTACTAGTTTCCAATAGAAGTCTTCTCTAAAAAAATGGCTTCAGTTAGTGTTATAGTACATTCTGAATCAGTTCTCCTAGATATTATTGTTGTTGAAGTTAAGATTAAATAATACCATAGTAGTTCAACATGATATCAAGCAAAGATCCTAAATTCAAGTCCCACTACCGCACATTTAATGAAATATTGCACGTGTCAACCTTTAATGAACAAAATAATAATAATAATAATAATAATAATAATGAAACGCGGATGCACATGAGGGGCATGTGGACATTTGCCATCTCTTATTCAAAACGAGATATGCTTGGTGTACATAATTTATGTACATAGTGGTATACATAACACTCACATAGGTGGGGTCCACTCTAATAAAATATTCGAGTGGACCCCATCCCCTTGTGAGTGTTATGTACACCTCTATGTACAATCATTATGTACATGTAGACTTATTCAAAACGTTAATATCCAGTAGCTCAATATTTTCCACGCCAGAAGATCAGTCTAATTTAATAAAATATCGCCATTAAGTTCTTTCTGCTCGAGAACGCAAACAAGAGTAGCAGCTAACTAAACAATCATTTTTCTTATATTTATTGGTATCAGGTAATGTTATAAAAATGGTAAAAAATCATTACAGAACAACATCATCTTGAATAAGATACCCCATTACCAAGAAAATCATAACCAAACACAAACATTGAGGAAAAGAATGAATATTCAAGAAAGCTTTATAAAGTTAAGCCAGACCGCGGCCGAAGACCTAAAAAATATATTGCTTAAATAATAAAGTTACTAATTAAAAAAATCAATAAAATCATTCATTTTATTCTTGAGTCGAGAACTGAAGAAACACTAACACAAACGAGCAATTAGAGATCCAATATTCTTGGACAAATACTTCGAATTAGGGTTTCTGAACACGTATCTAAGTATATAGGTAACTGAGGGAGGAGGTGACTTGCCTGAAAGCGAAAAGAACAATTTTCGAGATTTGAAAATCAGTGACGATTCTTTCGCAAAAACGGAAAAATGGATAAATCTTTAACGGGCAGTCGGCAATTTTTGGTCTGATTCAAAATTAGATAAAAGCAGTAGGAAAATTAATTTAGGATTTTTTAATATTTGGGCGGCGATGGCCGAAACGGAGCGGCAGATCGCGGCGGAGAGTTTAATTGAAGTTTCAAGTTTAGTTGGAAATTGGGCCGAGGAGTATTAATACATCAACATTTATTAGCGCATTTATTAGTACATCAACAATGGACCGAGTATTTGCACATAGCTTTTTTGGGTGGAATAATAGATTAATTGAGAATGTATGATTTAAAAATAACGAAAAATTTTGTGTTCACATTTAATATTATTTTATTAAAAAATATGTGATAGAAAAAAATATATTTTAAAATAATGGAATTAAACAAGGGCTTGGGCTGCTTGGCCTTAAAGGCCATTATTTTGAAAAGATGTGTGATTAAAAGTAAGGAAAATTTTTGAATTTACATGTAAAATATTGGGAAGAGTTCAAAAGTTAGGGATTAACTGTACACAATTCAAAAATCAGGTTTTAAGTTTGACGAATGCAAAAATCAGATTTTAGTTAATTAATTAAAAATATTTATTAATTAAATATAATATCAAAAGTCAGGGATTAACTATACACAATTCAAAAATCAGGTTTTAAGTTTGACTAATGCAAAAATCAGGTTTTAGTTAATTAATTAAAAATATTTATTAATTAAATATAATAAAATCACAGTTATATAATTAATGGTCACATATACATAATTATAATTTATAGGTCTCTTGTCACATATTTTAAAATTAATTGATCACAGATCAAATGTTTTGTACGTCACAGATTATTTTGATGTCATAGATTTTTAAATTAGTTGGTCACATATTATTTTTGAGTTACATATTATTAAATTTTTAGGTCACAGTTGAGTAATTGGTCACAAATTACCAAACATTTTGTCACATATTACTGAACATTTGGTCATAAACTACCGCCGTACCACTATGGCCACTTTCGACCACCAATATTTGGTCACAAATCGACCAAATGGTCACAGACCCCGCCACGACAATTAGTTAAAAAGTAGGGGGAGGAAGGGGGTTTCACTTTTGCTAAAAAAATAATGCCTGAACATCAATATTTAAGAAATTGGCTTGGGCATCGACCTCATAAAAAGGTCAATGTTCAGAGAGTTGAACCTATGCTAAAATAAAAGCAAAATATAGGGGTGAACGACCTGTATGGTATGGTGCTTATGTTCGTGGCTTCTAAGTTTCTTGTTTTTACTCTATTACCAAACTGATTTCCGCGATTCCCAATTTCTCGGTCAAATGGTCTTGACAATATTGCTAAACATCCATAATGAACTACAGGTAGAAAGTTAATAGCCGGCAGTGCGATAGGAGGAATGAAAGAGACCCAAGAGATGATTGATTTTGCAGCAAAGCACAATATATTACCATATGTGGAGATCATCCCCATTCATGGAACAACACCATAAAAATAGAGAGATGGCGGGTCGCTGCAGCGACGACGACGGTGGCGGGTTGACAGTAGAGAGACGGTGGTGACGATAGAGAGAATGGAGAGGTGGTTTGAGAATTAATTTTAGGGTTTAGATGGGTATAGAAGGGAGAGAAATGAAGAGGGAGAAGAGGAAGAGAAATGAAATAAAATTAGGGTTTGAGTAGTATAATATTTAATTACCTGAATTTTGATTATAAAATCTTCACACCTGATTTTTGCACTTTTAAGTTTAAATCTAAAATATTTTATTGTGTAAATGTATAGTTAAAAATGAGATTATTATTAAAAAGTTTTAAAATAATAGTTATCAAACAGGGATTTATAAAAAAAAAAAATTACATAAGAAATGACGATAAATTAAATTAAAATTATTGAAATTTCTTCTTCACTTAAACGATTATGCTTACCGTGGATTTAATAGTAAGTTGTCACAGTGGACATGATAACAATTGTAAACCTCTGAGTGACATCGCCACATCAACGTTCAAGCCGCATTTATTTTTTAACTTTTCAAAAAAAAAAAAAAGATTTGATCTGTTGACATGGCAATGTCAACGTCAAAAGGTGGGCATTATAACTTTACAATGTGGGCATAAGATCATTTCTATTAATAATAAAAATAATTTGAGAGAATTTTTTTTATTGGTAAATAAATATGTATCGTGGTGTAAAAAATAGTCACATGATAATCTTTCAAAACTCAAATCATATATGGGTCCGTTTGGCATAACTTTTGCTTCCAGTAGAAGAATTTTTGAAGAAAATTATCTTTAATTTTTGTTTGAAAATTAATTTTTAAAGCACTTCCTACTCTAAAAGTGCTTTTAGAGAAAGTGGTATTGGACTAGTTTCTTCTAGAAGCTATTCTAACTATCAAAAACACTATAAAATTAGTCAAACGAGTCCAAAAGTTGTTTTTGGACCTCAAAAGCTCCTTTTAACTTTTCAAAAGTCATGCCAATGGGGCATGAGACCTCAAAAGCTCATTTGGACTTTTCAAAAGTCATGTCGATGGGCCCTGAGTTTTGGCGGTTCAATGTGCCATTGTACCATGTGCAACGAAGATGTAACAATTGTTTATTGTGTTAATTTCACAAATTGTCACTCAAGTTACATCAAAATACCAAAACGGTCACTGAAGTTACAAAATTGTACTAACGGTCACTCAANGCATCCAACATCTCCCATTTTCATCAACTTATGTAATCGGAATCGATGCTCAAAGTTCAATGCCCACTAATTTGAAAATCGCCAAATAAGTCGAGCTCCTGTCGGAATAAGCCATGGCCCATACCTGGGCAAGCTGCTCCAGGTGAAGACGACCACGTCCATGGTGGCCCGCGATCGGGGATTGGTCGGAAGGCTCCGGAATTTTGGGTTTTAGCTCACGATGTCGCGAAGTTCGCGACTGGCAAGGAACTTGCTGCACAATTACAATTTCCTGATTTTTTTGTGTCAAATTGGAGCCATGGACGTGGTCATCTCCACCTGGAGAAGCTTGCCCAGGTATAGGTCATGGCCAATTTCGACCGGAGCTCAACTTATTTGGCGATTTTCAGATTTATGGGCAGTGAACTTTGAGCATCGATTCCGACTACATAGGTTGATGAAATTAGGAGAGGTTAGATGGTAATTGAAGAGGAAGATGAGTGCTTTCGGCCGATACTAATTTCCGGCGGCTTAGGAGGATGAACGGCGCCGGAATTTGGTTGCAAAGTCGCCGGAAAAATGGACAAAAATGGCTCTTGTTCAAATTTGCGATGTAGGTCCTCATGGTTCAAATTTCAACTCATTTGGTCCTTCAGTGACCATTCTTGAAACCGGCTAATACTTGAGTGACCGTTAGTGCAATTTTGTAACTTCAGTGACAGTTTTGGTATTTTGATGTAACTTGAGTGATCAATTGTGAAATTAACCCATTGTTTATTTTCTTCTTGAGGAGAGGTTTGGTCTTTGATACGGTAAAATCACAACATAAAAAGTATTTTGATAAAAGAAAAGCAAAGAAAATTGTATTTAAAAACTACATGTTGATATCTATGTTGTGCTTGTTTTGTTGTTTCGGATTGAAATTCGGTACTATTAATAAGTTATATTAGTAAACGATCACAATCGATAGAAATATGACATTATTCATTTTTTTTTTTTTCCCAAAAAAAATTTCCGATATGGCAAGCTTGGATAAGGTTCTAGCTTTTCTCCAAATTAAACTACTAGCAAACCTTAGTCGAGTTTTGCTGACGTACTTCCTAAGTGAAAATTAACCAATTAAGTCGATATTTTAATTTACGTGGTAACTGATTTTAGGGAAATTAACATATTAGGTCAAAATATTGTAGATTAGGTCGAGCAGTATTAAATTATCATCTGGCACCAACACGTATCTAATGCAACAGTATATGAATTGTAAAAATGAATCCAAGAAAGATCAAACAACAAATGCTGAAATCGAAGTCGTCCAAATCCAGACTTCATTAACTGGTAACATAGGAAACTAGGAACAACAAAAGGGGAACCAGAAAACAATATTGAGTTCTACTTACCAACGTCATTTATCATCTAAGATAGCACTAAATGCTAAACAAAGACAAAATCTATCGAGACAATCTTGAATACATTGGACAATTCGTTCCTATACAAGGCCTAGTATCACAATTTGGAGAAGGAAAATGAGTAGCGTACTAGGGAAATATCCTCTCAATATTCTAACGCCCAAACCAGATATGAACCGAATTGTCTCACGACATTCTAAACTCAACTCACTTACCACTTTAATGGGTTAACAGCTTCGCAAAGAGTTCTATTACTATTAATGGGTGGCTCCGAGCTTTCTTATGGGCACAGGCATCCCAGGTAATTCAGTCTTATGCAGGAAAATTTATGAAACCGAACCCAAGTTAGCTACTGAAAAGGGCAATGTTCAAAATATTTGGACATGTAAAATTTAGAAGAAGAAAGTGTTAATCAAATGTTCGCCAACAAAAAATTGATCGACCACTTGATGCTTCAGTCACAATAGCCACATTATGAAGCTAGAACCCTCTCATTGGCAGCCACATAGAACTCCTTGGGCATAGTACCAATTACAGAATCGCATTTTTCACCATTTTTGAACAGCAAGACCACCGGCACAGCCTTAACATCATAATTCTCAGCTAAATAAATATGTATCATTGTTGACAAGATTTGATTGGTCAAAAAAATGTTTAAACTGGTCAATAGTGTATTGCTACACGGTACAATATAAAAAATATATGAAGGACAATGTACACGTAGCATAATTGTTTCTAGGATTAAGTTCCAATTACGATTCTGGAATTTATTTATTTTTTTGAAAGATGTGAATGATTTTTTGATGGATTTATCTACTTGTACAGAAACTGTTGTCCATCACATTACAGTGAAGCGTTGGCCGCACATAATTGATTGTCAAAATTATTATTATTATTTGGCAAAATTCAATGACAGAATGCGGCATTTTGTCAAATCTATTATCTACTCTGTAACTCATGTTTTGGCTAGATTTTCTATAAAAGAACCTTTTTAATTTGGAATGGCTTCGAAGTTAGCCTTTAAAATCAGTGAGTCAACGATGAGTAAATAATATTTTTACTTTGTAAGTATACCCATGTACCTCAAATTCCAGTGTTTCCTCATTTTTACTTCTATCGTTTAACACCCTCATATTTTTAATTTTTATGCAGTAAAACCACTCCATTAAAAAATGGAAAAAATGGAAATTTAAAAGAAAAAAGAGAGGAAAAAACCTTCACCTTCCTTCCACGAATATTAGCGCCACCTTGGAGATCAAAGTAACAGTCTGGTGAACGTTCAGCAAAAGAAATCAACCTTTGAGGTGTCCTCACCTGTTTAAATTTGATAAAATACCTTGAATTAACCAAAATAAAGGTCATATGAGATTGAACCTGTACTACTATTGTCATCAAATTATTTCACATGTACAATGTGCTTCAACTTTACTTCCATCCACAATACACATTACAAGCTGCCCAAACGAATAAACCAACATATATTTTTTTCATCAGATTTTACCCCTGTTAAGTAAGAAGTTTACAAGTTCAACCTATCAAATATGGCATCCGAACTGCAAAAATCGAGCCTACGTATCCTGGGCCACTAAGTGATGCTATTATGTTTCTTTTCCGTTCTTGGAACGACAGGTTCAACCCTCCATGCAGCTAGTCTTTGAGGATGAACATCAAGATATTGGTTGGCAATTTATCGTCTGTTCAGCACAGATGAAGCAGCATTACATTCTGAAAACACCATATTTGGTACTTTCTGGCTTGCGGTTCATGGATGCAGCAATGCAAAGGCCTAGGATTTTTCTTGTATCTGCTGGATCAATGACGCCATCATCCCAAAGTCTGGCTGTGGAATAATATGCACTGCCTTCTCGCTCGTATGCCTCCACAACTCTGGTACGGAAAATTTCCTCCTCTTCCTTGCTCCACTACGAAGGATGTAACAAAAAAAGTAGTCACAAAGTTTTCGTTTCCAAAAATGTTTGGTAAGTTAATTTTTATCCTACTTGTATGTAAAAGAATTACTTGTTTTGGGAAGTTACTCTTACTAATTTCCAACGCAATCAAAACAAGTAACTTAAATTTATTTACTTTTATATGAGTGAACTTTCTCAGTTGCAATTTCAAAAAAGACCTACCTGATTTCCAGCCTTCTTCCGGTTTCCCCTTTCTATCTGAGCCAGCACCCCAGCAGCCTGAACAGGGCCTCGAGAATTAACAACTGAGTAGTTTATTGAAAGTACACAGTAGCCAATTTGGCACTCAAAAGCTAATATTACTCTCACAATGCTGCCTCAATTTACTGCTATTGTTATAAGTTGGAAATTTGGAGGAATAATGCCATTGCTTGCAATAAACTAAGAATGCAAGAGAGACTCGATAATTAGGACAAAAAGGTAAATGAGATTCCTCACAATTTGAAATGACAAAGCTCATCAAATGTTACCTTTTTAGTGGGGTTTCAAATAGCTGACATTTTTTATACTCTAGCCCCTGTTTGAGCCCCATTCTCTAAAAACTCATTTTTAACTATGCATTCTCTTAATAAAATAATTTTATACGTAAACCCAAAACTTTTCCTTATTTTTAACGACACATTCTCCAAAAAAATCACTATTACAAAATTTATTTCCCAAAAACTGTGGCTCAAACAGAGCCTCAAGTCTCTATGTAAAACCAACTTCAAATTGTAAGATTCTGAGTGAGTGAAATTTGGGGAAATAAAATCCTGCTGTCGATCTAAATCTAGCCCAATCTTGTGATTTCAAACACAATGTAAGTGTGAAGCTACCTGAACTCCTCCCATCACAGATATTCTGGCATTTGGCCAAAAGAACATGAAATCAGGGCTGTATGCACGTCCACACATTGCATAGTTTCCTGCTCCAAAGCTTCCTCCAACAATAACTGTGATTTTGGGTACCTACACAGAATGCAATTGCAAGTAAAAATGCATAAAAATTTAATTTGCAAGGTTTTCTTCATTTTCTGGGGTGGGAAATAGTGCGCTTAAGACATCTGATTGATGTATAATCATGGACATAGATGCTCATAACTTAAGAGAACAAAGACGATTCAAAGTTGTAAAAAGCAAATAACCTTTGCACAAGAAACTGCCATCACCATTTTAGCACCAGATTTTGCTATACCATTGGCCTCAGATTTTGAGCCAACCTGCAATTTTGTCAAGCAAAATAGCATCAAAATTCACACGCATCAACTTTTAATCTTTGAACGGAAATAATCCCTAAACCAAACGCAATCTGAGTATGTAACTGTAAATTCATCGTCTATCGAGAAGCTGACACCAAATCAAGTAATAGTGTTCCAAATTTCTCCCGTAAACATGAGTTCTAATGTTTAATTCCTCGAAGTAGAAGACACAAACTTTACTGGTAATTATTGGGTAAATACGTGAAGAAAACTCTTACTCTCATTCTCCAACTTGAACTGTGTGTCCTAGAAAGCATTGAATTGCAAATGAGCTATCAGTTAACTACTAGAATAATTCAAATTATTTAAACCCTTATCCAATCATTTTTAAACTATGTCAAACTTGACCAGCAAGGTGTCTAGTTACCTGTTGATTCTGAAACTAATTCACACAGCAGTGGAAAATATGCATCGAATTACTGCAAGTTAGGAAGAAAAAGTAATACTGCATACCATAAATCCTGTGATGTTCTGGAGAAAGATCAATGGGATGTTACGTTGAGTGCATAATTCGATAAAGTGGGCTCCTTTTAAAGCAGATTCATTAAATAATATACCATTGTTTCCAAGAATCCCAACAGGTTGCCCAAGAATTCTTGCGAAACCTGTTACAAGTGTCTGTTCATGACAAAAGAGAGGGAAAAATAAGAAAAACCAAACACCAAAAAACATATATGAGCAGAGAAGTAGAATTGAAAGATAAGAAAACCTCACAGTGCCATACAATTTCTTGAATTCATCAAATTCACTTCCATCTACAATGCGAGCTATAATAGATCGGATGTCTAACGACTGCTTGAGGTCTGTTGGTGCAATAGAACGAAGTTCTTCCACATTATACAATGGCTCTTTGTAATCAGATACCAGATGATCATTTATACCCCCAGCCATGTGCAAATTCTTAATTATATTCCTCCCTATAGCAAGTGCATGCAGTTCATCTGCAAGATAGAGACAACTTCAACAATGCCACAAATAATTGCTGCAAAGCAATAGGCTTAAAACCAAGTGTATCAACAAAATGCACAGATAAATAAGTTTGCTTCGTAATTGCCACTCTAATGCAAAAATATATAAGTTTTACCTTGGGCAAAATAGTCTGAAACACCTGAAACCCTACAATGCACAGTTGCACCCCCCAAGTCTTCTGCAGAAACCTCTTCTCCTGTAGCAGCCTATAAAACATCAATTTAGAAATAAATTAAAGATTTTATTAAATTTAATTAAATGAATAGAACACATGAAAGTCATAGTTTTAGAAGATACTTAAAAATGAAGATACAAGATGCACAGTAACAACTAGAATGGGATGAGGAGCAAATTCAAAGATTACAACATGAATCAGTTTCAAATACAAGTAGATCTCAATTAACCTTCACAAGTGGAGGTCCAGCAAGAAATATGGTTCCATTTCCTTTGACCATTACACTTTCATCCGCCATTGCAGGTATGTAAGCCCCACCAGCTGTGCAAGAACCTAGTACCAGTGCAATTTGGGGAATGCCTTCTGCGGACATCAGTGCTTGATTGTAGAAAATTCTCCCAAAATTTTCCTTGTCAGGAAAAACCTCAGCTTGCTTTGGAAGGAAAGCACCTCCACTGTCCACAAGATACATGCAGGGCAGTCTGCATTTAGCTGCAATCTCTTGTGCCCTTAGGTGTTTCTTGACAGTGATGGGATAATACGTTCCACCCTTTACAGTGGGGTCATTTGCCACAAGCATGCAGAGTTTTCCATGCACAGGTCCAATTCCAGTAATTATTCCACCAGATGGCAAAGGCTCTTCATATAATTCATGGCCAGCAAGCTGAGTTCACCAAAACATTAATTCAAGTGGAGTACAGTGAAATACTGAGTCAATATTTTAGTATCATTTCAAAGTAAAGAGTCATTTTGTTCAATTAATTGACAAACAAAACTTGCGTTATTCTAAACAACCCACCCACCATCAACGACAACAACCAGTTAAACTCATGTCTGAGAATTCTTTGTTGCAGTCAGTTTGATTTAACTCTAATTTAAGAATCCAGTGAAATTAAATCTTTTACAACCTTGTCAAGCCGTGCTAATTTTGGTTTGCTTCCCTCTTCTAATGTATCCTACCGGGATCACATCAACTTTAGGACAGGAGTTTCTTTAAATTATGCAAGACATGCTCCAAGTAGCCCCCAACTACTTCAACTGTCAGTCATTTTATTTACCTCCATGAAATATTACCTACCACCAATTCGCATGACTCCTTGTTTCCTATTTTTTCTGTTCTAGTACGGGAATGTGTCATTCTAACATCCTCTTTTATGTTCTATTCATTCTAAAATCCAAAACTCAATATAAAAAACATGATTGGTCCAATAGCTGTCGTTCAAAAATTCCCATTTCATCTAACTTGCACCCTCATCCTAAAAAAAATGCTCTCATAGTCCACCATCCGCGTCTAAAAACAGATGTTCTTTGAGGATAAAACAGGAGAAAATGAAAATTGACTATTCTTATATTGATGTTAAGGATACACTCCACTATCTAGGATCGATTCATCTAGAAATAATGGATACGTGAAGACTGGTTGATTATGAGAAAATTGTATTAAGTCTGATTGACCAAAATTGATACGCATACACTAACTAATCACATTAATGAGTATGAAGCGAACTTTGATCTTACAATATGAACAAAGATACCCAATATGGTCTCAGCAACGCCAAAAATGGAACATAATAATGTAACTCTTTTCCTAATGTATTTCCATGACAATGTAATTCTCCATTCCTTAGGTTTCCACTATCTGCAACCTATGATGCATGCACTCTCCTACTATGGTGCCGTTTCCGACATGTGTCCTCTGGCAATCAAGACGCGTATTTAACAAACCATGTGCCCTTTACCCTTTTTTATAAAAAAAATTTAAAATTACTGCTGCTCAAGGGATGCGTTCTAGACATTCCTTGAGCAAGTGATGTCCTATATCAAAAATAATAATAAAGATATGACACGTGAATTTAAATCAACTTGTCGCTATTCAATTTAACAAAAGGGAATCTGAGAAACAGTTACAATCCGAGTGAAAAATAACCTGGGAAAGCTCAAGAAATGAAGAACCGGGATCAATCAAGCAATCAATTCTCTCCCTAGGAAGAAGCTTGTTCCTACTCCTGTTCCTCTTCACAGCCTCAGGTCCTCCACCCTTCATAACCTTTCGCAACAAAACCAAAATGCCAGTTAAATAGGGAAAAAAATCCAATGATACAAGTACAAACAAACACAATATATGATATACATTCATAGATAAAGACAAGGAGAAAGAGCTGCGATACCTGATGAATGTGCGAGTGGAGTTGGGAAATGAGTCCTTCCATAACCCTGCAGTTGCTGGCGAAGGATTCGGAACCCCGGTCGATGGTGTCGGGTAGGACCCCTAAACAGAAGTTCCGGGTCCGAGTCAATCGGCTCGAAGCTGAAGCCGATGATGAAATTCTTCTAGCTAAGGTTCCAATCATTCTTCTCTCCTCTAGTTCCTCGCTCTACTTCTCCCTAAATCGTTTCTCCGATTTGATACGGCAGCAGTACCTAACGCATCCTAGCTGTAATCTATATCCAAACTGTTCAAGACCACCGTGGCTTGATAAATATATATATATTTTTTAATTCTTACGAAGAAAAATTACAGCTACCATCTCCAATATTTGGCTTTAATGCAATCTTGTCCTCGACCTTTTCTCCGTAACAATTCAAACCTCATGGAATCGAACCCTTCCCTCAAATAGAAGAATGGAATCCAGTTATTATCGACAAATTACACTTATTCGAAAATGTAATTATTTTTGAACTTTTATAAATGTTCAAATCGGTCAACTATGATTCCATGATATAATTCACACACACAGTCTCTGTTATTTTAATTTTCACTAATACGTTGAAAATCATTCGTGTGGAAATGTTCTATTTAATTCTCCATAAACCAATGTGTTTCTTTATGCTTATTTGGTAGAGATTAAAATTGAAAAACTAGCCGTTATTGTTGACTTTTATTAGACGAGTGAGATTCAATAACGACTATATTTTCAATTTTAATTGGATTAAAATCTCTCCCAAACAAATTTCTTTAACTAATGGGAAAAATAAAAACACAAAGATTTAGGGTTTATTCTCTTTACCGTTTTCAAGCCGTTATCGATTTTCCAAAATAGTGAAAATGTGTTCTATTTCCTATTTTCAAAAATGCGTTTTCGAAAATAAGTTTAAAATTCACAAAGAAAACCCAAAATGACAAATTTGTCGTTTTGAGTGTTTTCAGTTATCCAAAATTTTCAAAACGCGTTTTTTATATTTTCAACCATTGCCAACCGCTGCCACCACAACAACAACAAAAATGCAGAGCCTGCACCACCCAACCACCACCAACAAAAAAAAAAACCAGAAAGGATCAATGATAGGATGAAAGAAAACCACTGTGACCCAACCATATTTCAACCACCACCGCAGCGTCTTTTGAAAAATGGGGAAGAAAAATGGGGAAGAGAGACGCGAGAGAAACATGGGGAAGAATGGATTTTGGGTTTTTAATTTTTGAAAACAATATTTCAAAATGTCAAAAATAACATATTTTCAACAATCTCAAAATAGACACTCAAAATTCAAAACACAAAACATAAAACTAAAACACAAAGATAACAACCCCTTATGTTCTATTTGAGTTCCATTTTTTGAAAAATATTTAAAAAGTAAAGATTTTTTTTAGATTTACGTATAAATTATTTTATTGAGAGAACGTTTGATTAAAAATAAGTTTTAAAAAAAAGTCTTAAAAGAATAAAACTCGGAAGAGGGTCTTAATTTTTTTTTAAAAATTATTACAGGAGAGGTACCATCAGTCCTATAAAAGAAAATATTCCTAGACTAGGGAAAGATTCCATCGAGAATAGAAAATAAAAAATTCCACAAAAAATTCTCATACAAGGCTTCACTTTCTTGGAGAAAAAAAGGGGGTTCTTACATTTGTCTCATTTTCTTTTCATGTGCAAAATTAGAGGAGCGAGGAATCGAATTCTTGAAATTGATTGTGGAACCAAGCATATAGAACCCAGAATAGACACTAAGATACGCTTGGAATGGTGGCAGACATATCTTAGTGCTAATAATATTCTAAATCAATAATGTGCAAAAATGTTTTAACTTACCATTCTACAAGCCATCAATACTCCAATTAACCGCATCTAAGGCAGATATCAGAAGAACTCGAATGTCAAATGAGAAGCAAGTAGTTATCAAACCACCCCAATTCTCATAATACAATAATAGTTCTATAATTTTACAGCATTACACTTTGCTTCTTTACATAAAACTACCTACATTATGTATATATATAATGAGATCTGAATCAGATCACAATACACCATCCAATCATCCTATTCACTAATGGCGAAACACTTTAACTCTACCAAGGCCCCGTCACTGTCCTTCTCAAGCATATTCTTTTACCTCCCCGTGGCATATTTGTTGATTCTGATACCTGTAACATAACGGATATAAACAAACTAGATCTACAGGCAAGGAAGAACACAAAATGAGCTCTACTCGACTGAGTTTCAGAATGCCGCGATTTTTCTTTTTCATTTAGACTTATTTCAGAAAGATAATTTGAACTCTTCAATTTAACAAGTAAAATGAATGGCAGCAACGTCATTGGTCCAGATCATACATATAATTGAAGAAAAATATAATGCTCAACTTTTTCGCTCATACAATTTAGTGCCTATTTACTGTGGAACTTACTCTTGTTCAACAGTTCTTTTTGTTACTGTCAAGACCTTGCATACTATAACAGAGATGCGAATGCAGGAAATTGTAGCAGTTAAATAGTTTCGTACCTGATTTTTCTGCTTCTCCATATATTCTGCCTACAGAAATATGTGAATACAGCAAGAACTTTTGTCAAAATTGTGAATTTCCAGTATCATCTTGTAAATTGTAAACTGACTGCGCAAATGGACCTACCTGTTTTTTCCGCAACTCTTGGTTCATTTCTCTGAGCTTTGCTACTTCCGCTTCCAATTCCAAGGTATATGCCTACCATTCCATTCATATTTAAAACGTTATTAATCAAGAATATGTAGTAAACTGGACGTGTCAACCATGTGCTGGATAAACATAAATAGTCCCATAGTTATGAATCAGAACAGATGAAAACGCCACATACCAAGGTGAATAGCAAAACGTATCTAAATATTCTCCTGTCTAATTTTCTCATGTCGTCAGGTCACTTTAATATCAAACTCAGTCACGCTATTTCATGCATTAGTAAAGTTATTCAAGCACAAAAGAGGTGTGTGATTATATCTCAATATTAACATGCATTAATCTCTCAGAAATATGTAGATCGATACTGGTGCTCAGAAATCTATTGATCTAAAATGACTGTAGTAACGTTTAATAAATATCCCCGATGAAGATTTTTAAAAGGTTATATGACGGGGCCAAAATGCAAATAATGATTTTCTGTCCTATAATGGAGAAGTCCATCCAGTATGGGGTGCAGCAAAAGGATCTGAAATCCCAAGATGGTTTCAAAAATCAGAGATGGTAAATCTTCAATGTTAGTCTCTCATTATCAAGTTTATACGACCAGCCATATAGGCATTCGTTAACTGAACCTTGAATTATGGATAGTGGTATCTTCTCACCCCGCTACCAAGGAAGAAGGAATGAACCTTCATGGGCCAAAAGAACCATAAACCATGTTCAATAATTTTGTGAGCAGTATAAAGGAATACAGAAGTACGGATGTAGGGTTGTAAATTCACCTGCTTCCGAGCCCGTGACCTTGCAGCAGACTCTCTGTTTTTTATCATTCTCCTACGCCTTCTCTCCACTACTTTCTCTAAAGAATTAGATGATCTCCTTCCTCGACCACCTTCACGAAATGCATAAGGAGAAGGGGACAGTGAAGATGTATCTGCATCACTCTTAGCAATTGTATCTGAAGGTAGATGATTTCCAGGAGATCCTCCTGTAACTGTCGTGCCCCCATTGCGTAATGCCCCCATGACCACTGCGCCACCTTGAACTAGAGTATTATTCAAAGGATTTGATATTCCAGCAACTGGACCTTTTGCGCCTGGGCTAGCCTGTTTTCCAGTGTTACCAAGTTGCATAGGAGATGAAAATGTCACTATTGTTTGTTTGGGAAAAAGAGGCTGAGTCTGTGGCTGCCTAGGTTGTTGCTCAAGAGATATAACAGCACCCATATTCTTCTCTAAGGCTCGTGAATTATGGACTACATTGTTGTTCTCGTCAAGTTGATTACCCAACACACCTTGGTTACCCGGTTGCTGTTGAAATCCTATAGTTGGACCATTATTGAAACCACTAGGCTGAGGTAAACTGCCATATATTCCATTGTTATTTGCTGGCCAAGAAGGCTGAATATCTTCTCTAACCACCCCTGCTCTTACCAAGAACTCTTCTAATGTCATTTCACGCAAAGTCGGCTGCCTCACCTCAAAATTTGATCCCCCACCACCACTTCCATCTTTTGTACCAACAGTTTCTTTGAGTACATCTCTCCACACTTCATCAACAGTTTTCTGACTTAATGTACGTGGCAATGTTAGAGAACCTTGCCTCTGCAAATTTCCACCCATGGCCATCCCATCTCCCCCTCCAGGACAAGAAGACATGGCTTGAGTCTCTTCAGCTGTCCAAATGCTTTTCAAAAGGTCTTCCATGTTCATAGATCCAAAGTCCTTTCCAGGTCCAGCCAAGGTGTTCTGGAACTCATCAAAAGTCAAGGAATACACGGACGATTGTCGAGCCAATGGATAATTACCCATTGGTGTCCCCCTGCTGCCATCCGGCTGCACTGTGTCCCCAAAATTCTTGAAGTTCATGTATGACCCCATTATAGAAGATTGTCGAGCAGAGCTACAAGCTGACCAAATATTATAGTTACTATTTAGCAACGGAGTAGATTATCAACTATCAAGGCCAAATATACCCGTGTAATTCAAGCAAAGAGAACAAATAGAATTCTGTGTTCCCCTTTCCCAGCTTTCATTTACTTCTTTTTTCCTTCAAAATGTGACCATGAGCAACCAAACTATGGAAGAAGACCAGGGATGAAGATGGATAAAACTTCAATTTTTAATAAAACGCCATGCAACTGAATGAGTATTTTATATACAATTACAGAATAACAGGGCTAATTAAAATTAAAAGTTGGACGTGAAGGAAGTTTAAAACTCAAAACAGATCTTACTTTAAAGTACTTAAAATAATAGAGAAAACTCAATACATAGCTTTAAAGTGAAAAAAGAGCAAAGAACGCCCCGGTTGTTTGGTACACGTATATAATAATATTGATCTCCACTATTCAGATCTATAATTCAATATGGATAAAAATAAAATAAAAGCAATACAACTTTCATAAACAATCTAAGAACTATATACTCCCACTAGTCAGTATACGACCAATCATTTTACATATATGCATATAGTAGCG